TTCTTTTACAGCAGTTAAAAACAGGTCCTTCCAGTTCGACCAGTGTTCGTTCACGTCGGCCGAGGTAGCTTTTGACATAAGCACGATTTGATTGCTTAAGAACATACATTGTTTAAAAGCTTTCTTTACCACCTTGGACACTTGCTTGTTCCAGTTATGATTGCCAATCGTAGTGACCCCAAAAAGTCAAGCGGTGTCCACAACTTCCAGAATTTCTAGTCATGTTTGTCATTACTTGTTAAGTGTTTTAAACAATATACAATTGGAGGCTGTAGATTGATACATCTGGTACTCACGAACCATATACATCAGAGTTTTGTTTGTGATATCGGGTTTTATCTTGTTTGCAATAAATTTAAAATTGATGCTGATGTTCTTGTAATGTCCTGTATATGTTGCCATATATATCGAGGCCGATTGTTATAGGGCGGCAGAGAGAAAACTTCTCAGATTTTCTTTTTTTAGCAGTAAGCGATATTGTTTTCTGTACTTCAAGATTAGGTCTCAAAATATGTAAAAGTTAGAATGTTAAAGACCCCTCAAATTTTTCTGCTTTCTGGTACTTGATTGAAATGGCAGGCACACTGACTTTACACAAGTAGTTAGGTATTTACCCATACAATTTTTTATTGCTTCAGGACTCATTTGAGAACATTGGCTTATCTTTAAAACAGGCAATTCCAACATCCTCATCTAGTTCAGTTGCATGGAGTTTGCAGTGAGAAACCCATTTATATCATTACAGAATTCATGTCTCAAGGTGGGTCTCTTTTGTCATTATCACTGTGGTTTTCCTTCATTAGTTATTTTGTTGAAGTCCCTTGGGTGGCTTTAGGGTTCTAAGAGGGAATGTCTGAGTGGACCGACTGAAAATCAAAAAACGTGGTACATGGTCGAAAAATTAAAAACCTTCATATTTTGCTGAGATACACCCTAGTAAACAAAAAAACATTGTAAGGTTTTCCCCCATGCGTTATGACTCAGAATCGGCTCAGGTCAAGCTCATGATAAGTGGAAATAGTGTTGTTTTCGAGGATACAAAAAATTCGTTCGGGGCTTTTCATTTCTGTACAGAAAAAACCAGGCTTAACTTTGTGAAAATCGCAACATCATCATTTTCGTCACGACATAATCCTTTAAGCACCCCATTCTTAAATCCAGAATTCCAAGCAAAGGTTAATAGTTAGCAGCGTGTTCGATCAGGAAATCAATACAGTTAACTAACCTTGCATAGCTAACTACGGCAGATCGGTTTTCATCCCTGCTTTCGTTTCAAATTAAGAAGGTTCTGGGATGAAATTTAGCTTCATTGTGGACTTGAAAGAGGACAATTCAATCATTTATACCGGTGGGTCAACAATTCTGTGCCGTAGATGTTGAGGTAGGCAGCAATCTGATACTAGTGTAGACGTAAAACACTCAAGGCTAAACGTATTGCAGTCTTGCAATTTTACGGCTCCGAATATCTATGAACAATTTTTAAGAAACATGTTGACATGATAATTTTTTTTTATCAGTCAGTCATCGCTGTGAGACTTGTTAACTTTGCACGGGCGATCTCATTCAGAGTTGAATTAATGCAGTTGAATGTAATAGTGACATTACTCAGCTGTTACTTGGAAAAGCCATTATGAAGAACGTTAAACAAACAAATAGAAGAGGAAAGGAGAGAGGAAAAAGTAATCCCAAAAAAAAGGGAAAGGATAAAGAGCCGGATTAAAGACGAAATAGAGGCAAAGAACAAAATGAGTGAAATAGGTGTAGAATATCAAATATGGAACTGGAAACAGGATGAGATAAGTAAGATGAACTAGAGCTAAGGATAAATATATAATGAACGATGTGCCATTTAAAATCAGTAATATAAACAAAGAATCTTAGCTGAGTTGGGAACTTTCTTCCTAAGCTGAGTTTTAGTTTACAAAACTCTCGGAAATTTCAGGCATTTGTAAGGGGAAACTCTTCGCAATTTAAAACAGCCAGCGTGAGAAAAAGGAGATGCTTTTGATATTTCAGCTATTATCGTACCGCAAAGTCATTTCTCAATGCGTAAAGACTGTCGGCATCACGGATGTTGAGGCCGAAAGAGATTTAATTTCAGATCAAGCACCAATTCTTAGCACACCTTCCAGTAATCCCACTAGAGCTCCCGTTCCGGGCATCGCTCTTTAGGCGTTGGATGAAGGATAGGGTCACAAAGATATCGTGCATTCTGCCAGGGTTATCGAGCCATGCTCAAGGAAAATCTCGTAAGGCTGATCGTAGAATAAGCAAGGCATTTTGGACAACAGTTTTCTAGCTTACCCTTTCTTCAGGTTTTTTTAAAATATTATATTGAGGAAGTTTTACAAGATTTTTCAAAGCGCCTGTCTAATTAAACTGCCAAGATGGCACGGCGCATTGTTCCCAGATTTTCTTTTACTTTGTGGCTTACTTGCAGAGGCTCTGTGGCAGCTTTCTTACAGAGGCTGTGCTAAGGAAGAGAAATAGGCAGTTGCCTCAAAGAATAACGTCTTACTAACCAAGCACGAGGGCCGTACTGAGGATTATTAGCCCGAAATCGAAGCTTTAAGGAGCAAGCTTTGCGAAATTCGTGCAGACACGACCAAGGGCCAATATTCCCTAGTACAGCTCGCGCAAGCGATGTTAGTAAGTATTTTATTACATGGCACTGGGGCAACCTTTATTGTAAATTTGCCGGCTTTCCTGAACAGAAACACATGGCTTATGACCACTTCCGTGTGGGAACGGTACGTATAGCAAAGTCCCGGCCAAGTAAGAACTAATTAGAACGCTCGGATTTACCTCAGGACTCGCCTGCCATACAGCAAGTTGTTTTAATTTTCAAGCTCGAGATATTATGATTTAAAGTTAATTTTGTCTGTGCGCTTTTTTTGTTTGAAAATATATATCCTTGCAACTTTGTACCTCGTGCTTGCGTTTTTCTGTCAGAAATTAATTTTAAAGAAAGAGTCACTCATAATGGCAAGTTTGCCCTTTTTTTACATGGTTGTGGATGTTAACTCAATCGAATTAGTTTAGCTTAGCTTACTAATTTTTCAAATTTTGACGTGCAAAAAATGTTAAATCGGTGTCAGTGGCGTTATACACTGATTAATTCGCAGCTTTAACATCCCGGGCAACCCACAGGCTTTTGGCTGTTGTCCGTTGAACCTGGGTAGAGTAGGAAATTTGAACCGGAAGTGTCAAGTCTTTCCAGTGGAATACTGGAAGTTTATCTTTTAACATGGAGGTACTTAAAGCAAATGGCTCAGAAGATAGCGTCTACAAGGTCTACGTTTTGAAGCTTTGATAGTTAAATCAATAGTTGGTCAACAATTAGAAAGTCATGGTCACTGATCTTGCCTTTTACAAAAGGTGTGGCAATCAAATGATATTCTCCATGGGAAGATGACTCTACCGGCTGAGAGTTAAAATTTTGGCCATGGTTAACCTCATTCAGATCCACTAAAATCTGACACTTTGGCAGGGAATTTGATCATAATTTTGGCGCAGAGCGACAGGAACCAATCTTCAAAGGTTAAAATACTTGGGGCTGGGGGTGGGCGGATGCTGAAACTTTGAATTGATCAACACTATTGATTTCCTAACTGAACACGGTGCTAACTGCTAAACTTTGCCGGGAATTTTGGATTTAAAATGGTGCCTAATTGGATTATGTTGTGACGCAAATGACGATGTTGCGATTTTCACAAAGTTCAGCCTAGCTTTTAGGTGCGGCAATGAAAAACCCTAAACTAATTTTTATATCCTCGAAAACAGAACTATTTCCTCTCATCATATGCTGAGCCTGATCCGATTCTAAGTTATACCTCACAAGGAAAATGTTAATTGAAAATTTTCTACGAAATGCGATTTTTTTTTTGTATTTTTAAATATTCGTGATTTCAGAAGCGTTCCGAGAGCTCCCGTTGTCGACTTAAACCACTTCTAATCCCTCCGATTCATGTTTATCAACTTGATACGGCTTGCTTTACTTTGTGCTTTTCACGAGCAAAGTTCATTTGCGACTACTCGGGGCACTGATTTCTTTATGGTTACTAACACTCGTTTTAGTTTTCGCAAATTCTGGAGTATAAAGAAGCAAGTCTGAGAGAAAAAAAACCTTCCCATATTTGTAGTTCACTTTATGGCATCTCTAACTGAAATATGAGGCTAGTCATTTTTCAGTCCGTGTGCCACCTCTCACAGTCTTGAAAAAAAGGCGCCCATAACAATTCTCAGCTGTCTAGCTTCGTGCTCTTTTGTGTTACAACTCCCAGCTGTCTCGCTTCGTGCTCTTTTGTGTTACAACTCCCAGCTGTCTCGCTTCGTGCTCCTTTGTGTTACAACTCCCAGCTGTCTCGCTTCGTGCTCCTTTGTGTTACAACAGTAACAGTGATTTCTTGCTAACAGTACTTTGATGATTCTAAAATTACTTTAAAAAGTAGTCGAAAGTGATGAAAAGACGATCTATCCAGCCTCAGTTAACACTGGCCTCTTCACTTATGTATCTTGACTTGGAAAAAATTGGTGGTTTACGTTTTTTTCAATGATCTTTATGCTGGTAATTTGAAAAAGAAAACATTAAAACAGTTAACGAAAATTTGTGGCTGCATCTCAGTTATGAGATATATAACTCACTTCAATCTTCTTGTAAAAAGTAGGGTCTCAGGGTTAGGGTTTGGGGTTTTGATGATTGTACTTTTTTGCAAGGTTTTGGGAAGTCAATGAGGTTATTTTATGCCATTTTGTCTGGTAAGATGTCCACATAAAAGCGCCTAAATTGCTTCTTTCAACAGTGACTCCTTTGAATTTGATTTAAGCATGAAAATTCAATCTCGAATTCAAAACACGTGTAGATTCAGGGCTCCTGATTGGGATGGCTATTTTGATGTTGTTGTGATTGTTTTACACTTGGGTTGTTCCCCCATTTAGTAATTATACAGTACATGCAGCTGGTGTAACTTCAAGGGTAAATTGTATTTTTTAAAGGTTTGTCTCCACGTAGTGGGAAAAGGGCTGTCACTAAGGGACACGGGCTGAACACCCCCAGCCCTGCCTCTTCCCTTCCCTGTCCCAAATTGTTTGGAACTAGAAACATTTTGTACCCAGCTTACTATTTTCATTTCCTTGCCTACTTGAAAAATTAGTGACAGCTCTAGAGGGGCAATACTGCTTTGGCCACCTGCCTTTCACTGCTTTATCAATTTTACAATATGTCATACTCATCCAGAAGAGGTGGAGAACGCTTCTTTCTTTCAAGATCAAAGTGATCCTGAACTCAACATTCAGCAAGTTGCAAAAGTATTGTTTTGATGTTTTGTTGACTCAAGATGTAAGAAAGTCGTCCTTGTTTTCTTTTGTTCCTTCAGGGTGTCTTTTGCACTACTTGCGGCACAAGTATAGTAGCCTTCAGCCTCCTCAAATGACAGAAATGGTACGTCAAGTGGCATCAGCCATGATGTATCTGGAAAGTAGAAACTTCATTCACAGAGATTTAGTAAGTACCTTCTCTGTTAACATTGTGGAAAGGTTTTTTCATTAAATATTAGACAGTTTCAATTGACGTTGCAGGACTTTGATTAATTTGATTTAAGGACTCATTTTCATTTGAATGGCCAAATTACTTTTCAAGAATTGTATCACAGGAGCCCTGTACTTTTCTTTTTATTGTTTTTCTCTTTCGATTTTTAAAATCATATCATGTAACAAAAGCTCTTATAGTTGATGTCGGCTGTGAAGAAAATGTAGAATATGGGCTTGTGTCTGCCTATTACCGCTTATGTACACTTACTATTACATCTACTTAATACAGGTTTCAATCCGGTTAAAAATATATACATATTTGAATTTATTATATGAATACTGAGAAGTATTGTTGTTTATTAGGCAGCAAGGAACTGTCTTATAGGAGATAACGACATCGTGAAAGTTGCTGATTTTGGTTTAGCAAGGTAACTGGCCTTGCCTTTGGTGTTGAAATTCTCAGGGGCCCATAAAGTAAACATTGTTAGAAGTTTTTATCGTATCACCCGTACGGCCCTGCACGCGTTAGTCCATAGAAAATCATAGTGAAAGCTGTCGTGTGTAGGACGGGTTGACGTGGTCCGGTCAGGAAAAAGCCGTCCGGCCCTGCACACAACGATCTTTCCGCAAAAAAAATAAAAGGAACCAAAAAAGGAAACAATAAAAAATCTCGTTTATCGATGAATTATGTGCTTTTATTATTCTGACTCGGAAAGTCAAAGGAAAAAGGTTTTTTTTGTTAATTGTAGAATCTTTTTCGTGGTAGTCCAGCAAACGCCCGCCTGTCGCCTACTATCTAGGTCGAAACCAAATTTTCGAAATTTTCAACATGTAGTTGTCATGTAATAAAAGTAGCCAACTTAAGGTAATCTTGACTTTAAAAGGAACATGTTTTTATTATGTCCTTAAGGATAAGTCATCGAATGCAAACATTTATGTAAACATCTTTTAGTTTTATGCCTACCTCCAACCAAAGACGGTTATGTTAACTATTGCAGAAATCTTTTGTTACCGGAAAAATTGTAATTTAGACCCTACAACGTTTACTCAATTATCAGTAATGAACCTCTTGAACCTCATACCATGTGGGACAGAAAAATTATACAGTGGTTAATTGAAAGTAATCATAATAAAATTAACTATGCTAAGTTTAGGAGATGGTCATCACCCAGGATATGTTCTCTAGCCGCCCCATGTTATCCTCTGAAGCTTGATTACTTAGTTGAGTGTAACACCTAAATTTACCCGAGAGTATTCAAATACGTCAGTCCTTGGTTTTATTCGTCCATGAGCATTGATTTTTTCTATTTAGTGATGTTACGTTGGTAATTCACAGATACGTTATTGATGATGAATACACAGCATCAGAGGGGACAAAATTTCCAATAAAGTGGGCATCACCAGAGGTCATTCTTTACACCAAGTTCAGTAGTAAATCAGACATATGGGCTTTTGGTAAGTGTATATCTCCGAAACTGGTGCTCCATCTGTTTACTCATTATTTCTTCATTCATTAATATCTATTCATTCATTCGTGAAAAGCTTAGAGTGTGCACTGCTGAAACTACACTGAGAAGCTTCAAAATAAAATAGCTGGTAATTCCACTTAAGTTTGAAAGTTTCCTGTTTGCAGAAATTTTGAAAACAGGTTTTTGCCTTCACAAATAACGGACGGGTGGGGAAAACTTTGATAAACTTTTTCTGGGTAAGGCTTTCCGGGGGGCACTCGCTGGCTGCGGGAAGGTCGGGATCTATTACGGCTGTCGACTATCCTTAAGACAATGACTAACAGCAACAAAGTTGGCTCCAACGTAGATTTATTCTGTAAGCACCACTAAGCAGACTGGTTTCCTTTTTCACTATTTTCCGACCCTCGGTACTCCCAAAGAAAGCTCTATTTAAGCATTTGGTACAAAAGATTAGGTAATGCTATGTATTATTTAAAGGATCACGTAATCTAATACAACGATTGGTTAAGTAGGAATTTCCCCTTTTAAAAGATTAATTACTTTCAAAAAGTTAGGGTGGACAACAACTACACAAAGGTTCATGAAAGGTGACGGTTACAGTTTAACAGTAATTACAGATATGATCCAATAACAACTGTTTACGACTGACTGTATTGAGACCGGTATCATTTACGCATGCTGAACTTGGCAAAATCTCGCAGTTTCTACGATGAATTTTATATATTTTTAGCGCTAGCATACAAACTTGATAACTAAAAATCCTCTCGTTAAAAAAACATGACCAGATGATCTAAATTTGTAAATGGCAAACAAAAATGTATCTTTATTTCTGTTCCCGAGAACGAAATGTTTTGCGACGGAACATATTGCGTTGTATTGGAATCAACTGCATTAGGTTGGTTGGATTTTTCTCACGTTCTATTACGGGAAAAAAACTGTTCTCTGCGTATTGGGTGATCAACGTTTTCAACCAACATCAAACCAGGTTGAAACGGATGGAAAATCGTTGGTGGTAACTGCTGTCGTTTGTTGCGATCTTTGTTTACTAGCCTCGATGTTTTCAGTAAACAAAAACAAAATGGAAAGTTGCTCGTGCTCTTTCAATGCGCTCAGTATAGAAGTAATGGAAAAATTTGTAAGCATGCAAATCGGAGAAAAGCAGCAGAAATCGCGCAACACTTCGAAAATTGGCTGCCCTCTGTGTACCCTGAAAGTGAACACCGATAAGTGTAGTTATGACCATTCCCAAGAGTTACCGTGTTCGACCGAAAAATATTCAAACAGTAAAAAACGATCACTGAAGCAAAATAAAAGCTGCCAACTCCGAAGCAAATGTCCCACAAATACACGACAAACATGATCTCTGTAAAACGGCTCAGAGAAGTTCGAGCTGTTTCCTAATGACTGTCAGGGAATTACAAAAAACTATTAGGGGTCAGCAATACCAACCAATCCCATCCCATTCAGGGGAGCGGGAGGAATAGGAATACTCCATGGCGCATGATGTCATGAAACAGAGATAAGCTTTTTTAGGGTGGGCAATTCGGCGCGAGTGTAGACTCTACCTTTAACCTGATTCTGAATGACCCTGGGATGCGAGTTTTAGTTAATCTTTTGTTACGACTTCTATTTTAGCGTCTCATAAAGAATTCAACTACCCCACCTCAAAAACTATCCTGGTGGAAGTTAATTTATTAACTTTTGTGAAAGTTAACTTACTTTAATTTTTACATATGCTTCAAATATCCCTTCTTTGTTAATGAGAAGAAGTCATCTAGCATTATTGAGTTATAATTTCTCCTCAGTAAGGAGTATGTCAATGTGAAGCAGTTGTTGGGATGGGGACAATTCTTACCTGCTTTGTGGTGTCATTACAAATTGTGTGACTAGTTAGTTATTTAAAACAATGCCACCCTTGTTACAAGATGCGTAGATATTATTTCGAAAATTAATGAGTTCCTACAAAATATGGTAAAGTTTGTCCCTAAATGTGCTTGAATAATTTATTGCAAGGCATCCTAACTTGGGAAATATATACCGCGGGAAAACAGCCCTACCCTTCCGTCAGTAACACAGATGTAGTTCAAAAGGTTTGTACCTGATTTTCTATGTTATTTCATAATCAGCCTAAGCTGAAGGGAACTCCATCTGTTCAAACATATTTGTGTATTTAATGATCAAGTGGGAGGACCGGACGGGAAAACATTAGAGATCATGATGAATGCATTGTGTACAGGTCCTTACGTCATGACAAAGCGGAACTTCTTTCTTTTAGCTCGCATTTCTCAGCTTTTTACGGTTCTGGTTGCGTTATCGTGTACAGCCCTATAAAGTATAGGGATTTTTCGATAGAAGCTTGAAAGGGGAGGGAGGGATGGGGGGACCGCACAAGCGCACAAGTTATTTGATAAATTGATAACCAAATTTTTTTGAGGTGCTTTTGGTGTATGACAATGGTGACTCCGCTTGTGAACAAAGCGTGGAAATGTCCCTCCTGTTAGCATGTCAGTATTTTGTGTTGAGTCAGACCCAAATTTACAAGAGAAACAATCTTTCAGGAACCGCCAAATCCATACCCTAATCCATACAAAGAGGACGTTCGTTGCATTTTTTTCTTCAAGTGCTTAAAAAGTGTCCAGATGGTAATCTTTCATTAAATGTGTTTCGTTATATTACTCCCCATTTGGTAAAATGTGTCGTGAATTAGAGAACTTCACCTTCCGATTTGAGGTACTTTAATTTGTGGTTGAATTTCTTTCTAGGTCATTAATGGTTATCGCCTGCAGAAACCCCATAGATGTCCTGATGAGATGTACAAAATAGTAGAACGATGCTGGAACGCGGTACAGTCTCCTCGTTATTCTTTTTAACCTCTACACCCCACTTTTCATCACTTCAAGAACTGATATACCATCGACGGGATGTTTTATTACATAGTAGTACTTAACAGCAAAGTTTTCTTTATCAACTGTTATTACTCTACTGTCACTCCATTTTATCATATTAGGGCACTGAAACGCGCAAAATATATACGCCTTGTTTGATGGTTTAACATTTAATTCGTCCGGACATTTTGCATGTTGCGTGGTGTCTTTCCAAGCCACGTAAGCGCCAGGAAAAATCGTAGAAATGAGTAAAATGTCCGCTCGTATCAGATGTTAAATTATCTAATAAAGGATATGATACTCCACTATTATTTAATTTTCTTTTATTATAACTTTTTGTTTGCGAAATACTTCCTACGGTCTTATCTTTCCGATCGCACAAAGCATGCACGAAAGACGAAAACAAAACAAACGAAACCGTAAGAGTTGTATTTGTTACCGACTACAAAATCTGATAACCCTACCTTACGATTCCAAGCCTAAAAGACGAAAGAAAAATCACCAAGTTTGGATCGTTTAGTGCGGATTATTTTGTTGCTCAGCTTTCCATCCGTATTTCGCCCTGTTCTACAGTGTAATACTGTGGCATATTCGCGCGTTCTTATGCCCTAATATGGTAAACTGGCGTAGTAATGGAATTATAATAATGCTGTAACTTACTTGAAATGTTACTTTACATCATAGGAACCAGAGCAGAGACCTTCCTTTGGAGCAGTATACAAAAACATTGTAGACTTTGTGGGGGAAGATTACGATGAAACTGTTGACTGAGGTAGAACCTTGGCGATTTAAGAAATTAATGGCACTAATGCTAAGTGGACATTATCAAATTTAAAGGGAGAACAGAGTAGTAGTACGACTCTGTCAAGTGTTCTTGATAAGTGACCTGAGGTGAAATCTAAAAGTCAGGTTTTGTATTGAACTAGTAGGTATCTATGTATCAAATCCCAACAAACTTTCCTTTCGAAGATATGATGTTTACTCAGTTTTTTCACTTTGATCGAAGTTATGTTTTACCCCTCAGTTATACTGTTTTGTTGCAATTAAAATAAATTGAAATACATACATATATATATATTTACATATATATGATATGATACATATGGTAGTTTTTAAAAATGAAGAATTTAAACTCGAGTTTCACTCACTAAGTTATCGTCAGATTGAAGTTTTCTTAGCGAGCAGAATTGTACGTGAAAGTTTCAAATTTCAAATTCAGTTGCGGTTTGAAAATAAGCAGTTACAATAACGCTCATGAGAGAAACAACATTAATTAGTTTGCAGTTCCTAACTTTCCCAGTGTTTCTGTCACGAGTTCCTCATAATGTGAACAAATTCTTTGTAGAAAACGTTTCCAACTGAGATGGGATGATAATTTTAAAAAAGGAGAATAATGCGCAGAGGGTTTTTTATCTTTTTTTTTGTAATGTCAAATGATTTTTATACAGAATAATTTTAGACGAGTCACTAGACGGTAGGATTTTGAGGAATCATTCCCTCTGGGAATTTTTGTATTTTGGAGAAGGAAACTTCCGATGAAATTCTTGAAATTAAACAATTAGTATGTGTTCCGCATAACCTCTATCAATTCAATAGTTGTGAAGAGACCTACGCCAGTTACTGACGAAGAGAACGTGGCTGAGTTGGGTAACCAAACATAATTATTGTTTAATAATTTAGACCGATTTTGAAATAAAAAAGAATTTTTTAATGCTTTACACTTCTGGAGACTTTGATTATTTAACCATGATGATCAAATGGTTAGTGCCTCATGTGAAACTCACATAAAGATTTCCCTAATTACTACAAAGGCACATTTAGGTTACTGTAGGTCTTTAGGGGTGTGTGCCAGAAAATCGTTCGCATTCGCGTTGCTTTTATCAGAACCTCTGATAACCTTGAGTACATATTACCGTAAAGCTGATAAAATTCACGATTAAGTCAGTTCGAGTTAGTAGCTGCAGGTGGAGAGGTCCACATTGAAAACAAAATTTCATTAATAGGAAGCGTGTGTGACCATACATTCAATTTTTTTCCCCTGAGTTTCTCACATTTTCGTACAATTCAGGAATAATCGTATTCGTATTTTCTAATCAGCCTATCGCTGACCCGGCCAGTCACAAATCCCTTAGCCGACTATTCCCTGAAATGAGCTCCACTCCTTTTCCATTATTACAAATAATTATTTAGAAAAAGATTTGGGTCGATGTTAAGGACGTGCAAAATTAACCAGGTTTGATAACTTGAATTACCTACCTACGGGTACGCACGCACAACCCGATAAACGGAGCAGTGTCACACTATTAATTCACTCAGAGTTTGCGAATCCATTCAAATATGAAGCTAGAGTTTTTTACCCCATAACGGTTTACAAGCTACCACACCATCAAAGCAGTTTCATGGCGTTTATCCGAAACAGAGGCTTCGGACTCTTAAGGCTCCAAACAAGACTAACCAGTTGAAATTCGTAGAAAATGCCCATGTTTCTATAATTACGTGGTCATATGAGGAAGTGTGGTCCATCCGAGCCGAAGGGAAAGAGCAGAGACGTAGGGGAAAGCAGCAGCGAGTCGAGAAACCAGTATCGATCTACCGGCGATCCCAAAAAAAACAAACGTGACTATGACTATGACTATGACTATGACTATGACTATGACTATGACTATGACTA